GCTGAGCTGGGCAAAATGCCCCCCCCCCCGGTGCACGCACTTACCCACCACCCCTGCCCGCAGCACCGTGCCAGCCTGGTGCAGGGCTGGGCAGTGAGCAGCACTGCAGAGAGCTCGAGGTTTTTGCAAAGAAAGTGACCGTAGTGCAAAGCAAAGAATGAGCAACACTGAACTTGAGGACATCTCACTGTGGGCAGCCCAGGGGGGGTGCTGCCCAGAGACGGCTCCGGCTGGGGCTCCGGCTCCGGCTGGGGCTCGCGTGAGGTATATCCGGGGTCCCTCGCAGCCGTGGCTGGGTGAGCCCCGTGGGGGCAGAGCAGCAAGGATGAGCAATGCCAAGCAGAGGTGCGCCTGGGGTTGCCAAGTGCCGTGCGCCCCTCGGGAGGGAGGGCTGTGCGTCCTGCACTTGCCCCCACCCTGCTCAGATAGGCGGGGAGCTGCCTGCCCCAGCGTCTGCCCCCTCCCGGGTCTCTGGCAGCCCAGTGCCAGTCCTAAAATGCTACTGGAGAGCTACAGCCACCACACGCAGGTGCAGGAGAGGGCCCGGGCCCTGCAAACACAAATCCAAATGCAACACAAGCCCCTTGGGCAGCTGGCAGGAACCCTCAACCGTCCAGAAGCAGCAAGGGCAACGGGCTGGGCAGGGTCTACCAGTCCGGAGAGGGGTCTGGGACATCCTCTCCCCTCCACAAAGCCTGTGGCCAGCCGTGGCAGGCAGTCCGTGCCCTGCTGGCTGGGCATCTGGGTCTGTGCCCCCCCAGGACCCCTCCCTGCCATTGCATAAATAGTCGCAGCGGCTCCAAGTGGGCCAAGGTCCCCTGTCCTGCGAGCGACATGAAGGAAGGTTCGGCGTGGATGAGATGTACAATCAGTGGTCTGGTGGGCACGAGGAGGGCCACGGAGCGGGCGCGAGGCAGGCAGGCGGGATGGGGGCGCGCCTAGGGCTGGGCACCGGCCCCCGGGGGGCTGACGGAGCGGCAGCTGATCTTGCGGATGGAGTGCAAGGCGACGGTGCAGCAGCCGCGCAGCAGCGAGCTGATGTTGTAGATGGGCTGGTCCTGCCGCCGCTGGGTGCGACACAGCCAGGCCACCGTGGGCATGGCCGGCACCACCACGGCCAGCAGGTCCACGATGAAGTGGCGGCTCCAGTAGCTCTTGGGGACCGCAGCCTCCATGCCGGGCTCGGGAGTCTCCTCCTCCGTGGCGCACAGGATGGTCACAGCCGGGCCGGCGGCCTGGTGCACGGCGGGGTTGCCACTAGTCGGGCCAGGGCTCGTTTTCCCCTCCGGCGTCTCTGCCCCCACCTCCGCGGTCACCACCACGGTCGAGCTGGGGTCCGTGGCCGTCAAGTCCATGGTGCCAGCATAGCTCTGGGCCTGAGTCTCTGTGCCGGGCACCGCGTCGTCCATCTCCGACACCCAGCCGGAGGTGGGGCTGCCCAGGCTGCAGGCCTGGGCCTTCATGACCTTCTCCAGGATGGTGTCCAAGTCAGGCTGGTAGTGCACGAAGTCCGTCTGGATGGCCCGCTCCTGGAGGCAGCTGGCTTGCACGCCGGCCTCCACCGCGCTGGGCGCGCCCAGCAGCTTCTCGTAGGTGGAGCTGGCGGGCAGGCGGGAGCCCAGCGTGAAGGAGCCGTGCAGCGAAGCCTCCTCCGTGCCGCACTCCAGCCCGGACGACAGCAGGCTGCTGGGCTCCAGCAAGTCCATGCGGCTCAGCGAGTCCTCGGCCGCCGCGAAGCCGCTGTCGCCCACCTCCTCCACCGAGATGGTCTGCGAGCCCCCCACGTTCTTGTCGCCGGCCGCCTGGTCGCTGAGCTTGGTGTAGGTGGAGCTGCGGGTGAGGGAGCGGGCCGGCGAGCCCCCCGCCGACTCCCCGGCCCCGTCCTCCTTGAGCGTGCCGTTCTGCGCCACCTCCATGCTGTGCAGCAGCGTCTCCAGCTTCTTGTTCTGGATGTTGATGTCCACGAAGTACTTCTGCAGCCCCTTGTCCTTCTCCAGCAGGTTGTTTTTCACCGTGTCGATCACCTGCTTCAGCTGCTTGATCTCCTTGCGGGCTTCCTTGAGCGCCAGCTGGGCCTCGACGCGGTGGCACTCCTCCTCGATCCAGTCCTCCTGCATCCGCGACAGCTGCGTCTTCAGGTCCTCGATCTCCGTATCCCTGCACCAGACACACACAGAGACCCGCCGGCTGTCACCGATGGCAGCATCGATGCCAGCCCGTGCCCGGAGGACATGGGAAGGGTCTCTCCAAGGGCAACTCTAAACCCTCCTTGGCACCAGCTCCGTCCCCTCCATGAGGGCTGTGGCATGGGGGGGAGAGAGGAGAAGTGGCAGGGATGCCCGCTAAGGGGTCAGATGGGCTTCGGCCTGAGGCTCTGGCCCAGGTCTCCCGGGGTCAGAGCAGCGGTAAGGCCCCACAGTGGGAAGACCATGGAAGCTCCTGCCGCCTGCAGGGATGCTTTGGAGGAAAGGAGGGGAGACAGACATATATTCTGGACATGCCTGCCTCTTCCAGCCAGAACATGGGCACCAGATAACAAAAGCCTTGGGCTCCAGGTTCATGCCCCAAGTGCCTTCCCTAGGACCTATGGAGAGGCATCCAGCATCTCTCCACTGCTGAGGCCTGGTCCCAGGTGGCCACATGCCCTGGTGGGGTCCATGCTGGGGTCTGGATCAGCCCTGCTCCTCGCCCCCCGTGCTGGGACCCGCTTGCTCCCTGCCCCAGCGCTCGCCTGTCCTGCAGCCTGTCCTGGGTGTCCTTCAGCCGTGCCTTCAGGTGCCGGATGCAGACTTCCTTCTGCTGCAGTGGGGTCAGGTACTGCTCAGGTGTCGGGGGCTTGATCCCATGGTTATCGCTGCACAGCGTGTACTTGACTGGGCGCCTGCAAAGACAAGGTGGTCAGCAGGCCCAGCAAGCGGAGCAGCCCATGTTGCTCCTCCCAGAGACCTGCCTGGTTCTCAGCCCCCTCCCTGGGGTCACACAGGCCCTGGCAGCTCAGCCCATCATGCCGAGACCGTCTCAGATTGGCTGCAGCCCTGTTGCCATCAGGTGCAGACAGGGATCAGCCCCAGGCGGCTGCAGTCAGTGAGAGCACAGACCTGGGGCTGGGTGCACGGCAGGATTGAAGCACCTGGGAAAAGCCAGGTGCTGGCTGGAAAGCCCGAGGCCTGGGGTCAGGGACGGCGGCAGCCTGGATCCTTTGCGGTGGGCAGCAAGAGTGAAGGGGCTGCAGGCAAGGTCATTGCCACAACCCTGCGAGGACCTTGGCTGGGTCACGGGTCCATCACTGCAGCAAGCAGCAGATGCACTCAGATGTGGACAGCTGGACGCACGCCCGGGCAGGGCCCCCTGTTTCATAGTTGTTGGGGGCTGGAAGGGACCTTACAGATCATGCCCGTGGAGCGACCGAAAAACCAGACTCCAGACACAGCCCTTGACCCCCCTGCACACGGGGGAGAAGCCGTCCAGGCTGTTCCCACAGTGCTACTCATCCTGAAGGAGCTGGAAGGGTTTCATGGAGGGAAGCACAGCAGATGGCACAACAAGGGGTGCGGTGGAGACAAAGGGACCAGGGCTTAGGGGCTGGGGGAGGAAGGACGGGAATGGACACCAAACGGCAACACCGTTTCCTACCCAGCACCAGCAAATCTCATCATCCCGGGTCTCCAAGCAGGCCCAAAGGTGCAGCTTGGCTGGCTGGCTCATGCCTGGCTCCCACCACAGCAGCATGGGGCAGCCCTGCCAGGATCGGGACCCACAGGGGAAGGGGCTCTGGTTTACCGCTTCCTCTGGGGAACACTGTCCCCTGCCAGCAAAGCCAGTGCCCTGCACGGGGCAGCTGAGACTGGCAAGACAGCACTGGGGACAGGCAATATCCAGCAAGATCCCCCTTGCCCCGTAGACACACCATGGGGTTGCAAACCGGCCTCTCCTGCATGTGCTGGCACACGTGTGTGCGTTCCTTGCTGCGGAGTGAATTTGCCCCGAGGTAAAATCTGGGGCAAACGCTCCGCAGCAATGGGGTGGTGCCCAGTTACCTGGGGGTGGGGCTGCTGTCGCTGCCCTTGCAAGAGCCCGAGTTGCTGCTGCTGCTCAGCGAGGAGGTGCCGTAGGTGTCCCGCATGCTCACGGGCGGGGAAGGGCGCCTGGAGGCAGGAAGAAGAGGCTGTTTCTCGGTCGGAGTGGCCGGGGGCGCCGAGGATTTAAAGAACGAGGCCAAGCCACTCCTGCCATACACCCCACGGCTTCCACACCACCAGGCACACGGACGCACAGGACAGAAGGACAAAACAAACAGCGGGGATCAAAATGAAACGGCGCCAGGCTGTCTGGACACAGGTTATTGCAACAGGACGCCCCTCCCCGGGCTTCCCTGGCATCACATGCATGCTCCCCGTGGCAGCCCCAGCACGGCGGGCACCGCTGGCAGGGCAAGGACGGGCCACGCTCAGCTCCCGGGGTGCCCTGCTTTCCCCTGCCACTGCAAATGCAATCGGGGTGCCCACACCCCCTGCCCGGGCCAGGAGCAAATGCTGCCTATAGCCAGGAACTGCAGCAGGATCAGGTCTTGCAAGGGGTAAATGGCCCTGAGCTCTGCTGCTACCCCAGCCCAGCAGCTCCCTCCCACCCGTGGCTGGGAATACAGATGTGCAGCCCAAGATAAGCCCAATGCCAGCAACTGCAGCAGAAGGACATGGCTGAAGCAGTTATCATACGGGCAACCACTCCATCCCACAGCCCTGGAGACAGCGTGCCCAGCCCCAGTGCCCAGTCTGTCTGGAAAGGGCCCATGCCCGTCACAGGGGAGAGTCCTGGGGCTCTGGCAGGGTGCTGCGGGGTGCACCCTGGCCCCCATGGGGAGAGAAGCGCGGGCATATTCACCTTCGAGATCCAGTGGAAGGTCGTCTGCTGTTGGGCAGGGACATAGCAGAGGCGCGGCTGGTCCTGGCCGTGGGGAGAACTGGCACGCCGGCTAGACGGGGATAGAGGACACAGTGTGAGCATGGCAGCAGGACGAGCGAAGCGGTGGCACTGGGAGGGGCTCCTGCAATGCCACGTGCAGCACCGAGCACGGGCCAGCCCCGGTGCTGGAGTGGAGACTGGCACAGGAGGTGCACGGGGGAGTCTGTGGTGCCCGCTGGGCTCTATGGGCAGTCAGCAGGGGATGCAGAGGGTTTATAGGAGGGGGCTTGATGTGTCTGCAGGGTCAGGGGGGGAGGCATCGGGTCCTTAATAGTTCCCTGGGTGCAGACAAGAGCCTTGCTTGTCCCCATGACATCTCTACCTCTCTCTCGCAGTCTTGCATCTCTTCCTCACCCTGGGGAGGCCCAAAGGGGTCTAGACTGACCCCCTCCTCGGCACCTGGGGATGCTGGGCTGGAAGGAGCCCCCCAGTGCCGTGCCCCGTCAGCCACAGGACTCAGGGGGTCCATAGCAGCAGCAAGGAAAGGCAGGACTTTCACCTGCCCTGGGTCTCTCCCTCCAAGCTCTGAACGTGGGGGTCCAGCCGGTGCCCTGGGGGGCAAAGCTCTTCACCCCCTGCCCCGGCTTGACTCGTCCTCCCGCCTTCCCTCGCTCCCTCCCAGTTGCAAGCACGCAGCATGGGCATGCATTTTCCATCCCACGCCTCCCCCACCTTGCAGAGACCCAGGGCTCTCCGGCCAGGCTTCCTTCCAGCAGGTTGACTTTAATCGGCTGCAATAAATCGTCGCTCTCTAGGAATCGGCTGGCTACGTCCCCCTCCGCGCCAGGTGAGGTCACACCAGGCAAGAAGGCAGAAGACGAGATCCTCAGGGGTTACAAAGCCACGGTGACGGGTAGAAGTGCACCTCACACTAGCATGGGCATGCATAATTACCGCCATTAGGGCCACGGTAAATATTTATAGGCATAAGGAAAGCTTTCCACGAGGGCAGCAGGAAATCCAAGAGGAGCTGGCAGCAGCCCAGGTGGGGAGACTGCTCCCGGGCCCAGATCCTCTGTTGTGAACGGGGAACCTTCCCCACCCAGAAGAAACCAGACGGCTGCTCTGACCTGCAAGGACAAAACTGGGGGCTCTGCATGCGCTCCTGCTTCCAGGCAAGGCTTTGCACCCCACTGAGGCTCATTTTTGCTGCATTTCCCAGAGCCCCTGAGGCTCTCTGCAAGCATCCGCCCCTTGGCTTTCCTCAGCCAAGCACTCGACTCTGCCTGGAGCATGTCCTCCTTGCAATTGCTGGGCGTTTCTGGTGGCAGCTCGCATGAAAGACGTTTTATTGTCACTGTGGCATGGAGCCCAAGCACAGCGGGCCGCAGCCGCCGCTCTGTCAGACACCAGCACAAGGGCCAGGGAGGGAGCGGAGAGGGTTCGAAGAGCCAGAGCCGCCTCTGCGGGTGCTGGGTGCCCATGACGCCAGCCAGGGATGCTCAGAGGTGGGGACTGAGCACAGAGGTGGCAGAGATCGGAGAGGGGCAGAAGGAGCCACGGAGCAAGGGGGCAGAGAAGGGACCCAGCCAGGCACCATCGTAGTCTGAGGACTCACCTGCCCCAGACCCAGAGGTCCTGGGGAAGGAGCCAACAGCGGCACTTGACGGCAGCTAGGACGGTGGCACTTGAAATGAACCCTTTAAAAGATGCATATTTGTGTCTCTGCTGCACAGCCTAGACCAGACGCCGCAAGGGCTCAGTCGTGCAGCCAGCGAGGTGACCAGCCCCATCCGAGCACCCAGAGGGCAGGGCCCTGCAAGGCACCAGCCTGTCCACCCACCTGCTGACTCCCTCCAATGCGCGTCCAGGCTGCTGGGCATCGAGTGCAGCTGTGTCGCGTGGCCCCGCGGGCTCCGGAAGTGCAGGAGCTGATTGCTTCGGGAAGCTGGATCCTCCCCTGCTCATGGACCAGAAGCACGGGGATCTGAGCAGCCGGCCTCTGCTACCTGGAGACCTGAGAAGATGCATTTCTTGCAAGCATCCCAACGTGGGGCTTTGGGGGCGTCGTGCTGGAGCCGGGAAGTGCCGTAGCTGAGAGGACTCACAACAGCTTTAGGAGTTGGGTAGTTTCCACGCTCTTCTCTGCTCCAGGTCTTGTTCTCCTGCGAGCCACCCTAAAATGCATGCCTTGTGGGGACAGGAGAATGCTGGCCCGGGCTTGGGACGCACCTGCCGATGCGGCACTGAACTCCTTTTTGCACTTAGAGAAAGGATGCCCTCTCCTCATGCCTCTGGCGACCCAACAGTGGCTGGAACCGGATGCCCAGCCAGGCCCCTGCCCGCCCTCTCAGGCACCGGCTACCAGCACCGCACAAAAATCAGAGCAGGCCTCTAGTTCGCTGAAAGTCATCCGAGGAGGTTGTCACGGCAACCAGGAGGAGGTTTAAGGGATCACAAATCATCTTACCCTGCTGCAGAGAGACCAGGGCTGCAGCCCGCTACCCCCACGCTGGGTCGATGCACCCCGACACCCGGAAGAAGGAGCTGATGCAAGTCAGGTGTGAACTTCAAGGTGGCTGGGGCTGGGTGGAAACATGCCACGACATGCATGGCAGACCGGGGCCGAGCTGGGGGACCAGCATGCTGCAGGGTCATGGATGCATGGGGAGAATTGGATCTCAGCACCCTTGCACTGGGCTGGCGAGGTCCTATTTCAGATTCACTCCATCCCAGGAGGCTCCAAGGCCACCAGTCCATCACGCCAGCTTGGCCCCGCGACGGGGAAGGACGGTCTGTCCCAAGCACAAGCCACCAGCTAAGCGAGCTGTGGTCACAGGTAAGAAACTACTGCTGCATCCATGTGAGAGAGTGGTTCAACTTGCTTGGTTTGACCCCCAGGCCTGCCAGTGCCAAACACCACCCAGGACAGCCCAAATGCACCAAAATGGGGCTCTCCCCGCAATTCGAACTCTCGAATGACTGACATGCCCCAAGTAGCAGAGAGACAACTGCGCCGTGAAACGTGGCTGAAGAAGAAAGAGCCTCCAGGTGACATTCAAGAGCAGGAATTTTCTGGTCATCGGGCTGGGGTGAAAAGGATGGTGATAATTCCTGGCATGGGGTCCCCACGGGGCGGGCTGCATGGTGGGAGGTCCAAATAGCCCGAATCCATCACCAGGATCCAGTCTGCCGAGATGCTCACCCGTCCACAGCCATGTTCACAAGCCACCACGCCGAAGCGAACAGAGGGAAACGCTGGTCAAAATTGCCTCAAGGCGTGCCGGAGTGCTGGGGGCATGGGGCCACTTACAGTGCATCGTCTCAGGCTTGCATTGGCATTACGCTTGCAGTCAAGGTGCTGGCAACATCCCCTGGCACCCAGCTATGGCTGTGGGAGGGACTGGGTGCTGCCAAGATGAAAGGAGAGGGAGACTGGTGCTGTTTCCATGTTATTTCCATTAGTCACCGGTTCTTACTAAGTGTCCCTACCCCATCCTCAGGTCTTCTTGCCCCAAAAGGCTGGACTTGTGCCACCTGTTCTGTGGGTTTCTAGCGCATCCAAGCAGAGCATCCACAGCCTCTTCCCTGCTGTTTACCAACGGAGCCGCTACTGAACAGCATGAAGTTGGCCGTCATCGCCAGAGTATCTCGCCCTCCTGCAGCCGTCACACTCAGTCGGTTTGGCCCCTTTGCTCTAGGGCACAGGAGTCGGGTTGTACAAAAGCCTCAAGATCTGTCGCTACCTCGCCATGGATGACTGGGAGTGACCCTGCCCCTCTTCCTGATTTGAGGTCAGATGCCAAAATCTAGGACAGCAGGTTTCCAGCATCTGCCAGCACATCAAGGATCACCCTTATCACCCCAGGGGAGGTAGGAACAGCCCCACTGATTATAAAATCACAGAGCTCTGCACAAGGCATTGTAGCAACTAAGAAGAAACAACAAAACCTGGCAATCTCCATCCAAAACCCTCCCAGATGTTGCAGTGGAGAAGGTGTAGGGGCAGAGCCCTATTCGAATGCCACGGTATACATCAGTAGCATGCCGCCATCTGGGATGGGTTTGGGGCACCCCAACTAGGATCTCTCCAAAGCAAGGAGAGGCTCTGAAATGGGTCAAGACAAATGGCCAGAGGCAAGAGAGACCGCCCTGTGAGGAGGAACTTGGCAGACCTTCACGCTGCCCGCCTGGTTCCGCTTTAATACCCATGAGAGCATTTCATTCTGCTGCGGACTCAGCAAACGACACGGGGTGTTTATGTGGGACGTGAAGAGTTGCAGTAAACAAAACAAACAAAGTCAACTCCTGAGAAAGGGCAGG